ATGGTCTCTTCTATTTTCCTTTACATACAAGTTTTATATTTGATTAAGCAATTTCTTTAACACTTTCTGAGTAATTAAATATCATTAGTTTTATCAATATTAACAAGAGTTCTTAGTTTTATGTGCCAAAATTAACAACAGGAAACACGTAACACCTTAGCAGTGGCGTAGTATGGAATACTGTCCCCGGGGCCTCTAGAGATAAAATGCCACTCCTTACACCCCCATCCCCATTTTCAAGTGGGTACAGAAAATTTAAATCGGTTAGTCTTTAGTATTTGAATAATATTCAAAAATGAATGGAACAATACATTAAATTTTTTCAAAAGAGAGAATTGACTTTCATCACCAAAATTTGCCTCCCGGGGTCATGATTCTACAGCTACCGCCTTGCTATGGCACGGTGCGGCGTCGCGATGTCCATCTGTAACAAATATTTTTCACGAGAAATTTCTTGTTGAAAAATGACTGAAGACTATCACTGTTAATAATATACTAACGGTGTAAAAATATCTATTACCCCATATGACCCTAAAATTAGGCCAATGTTAAGATTATGATCTAAGTTTTGTATAAACTTTATTACTATGTACTGATTGAATAAAACTATTATTTACGGATTTTATCGCGTTTAATTACTTTAATTTCTTTTTACTATCCCGACGTTTCGGGTGTTTTACAGCACCCATGGTCACGGGGGGGGGGGACCATGGGTGCTGTAAAGCACCCGAAACGTCGGGATACTAAAAACAAATTAAAGTAATTAAACGCGATAAAATCCGTAAATAATAGTTTTATTCAATGTGTAGTGTTCGCGTAAATTTAAGAAATCACTATGTACCGAATTTTTTTATTTTTTTTTATCAAAACGTAATATTTCGATATTTTAAGATAATTTGAGCAGAATTTAATTTGAAATTAAAGCTTTTAATTTGAAGTATTTTTCAAATATTTAATAGTAGGTAGAAGGAGACTACTTTTCAAAACAATATACACTTGTACACCAAGTGTAATTTATTACATTAAAAAACATATTAATAGGTCTATCATTATGAAATCGACGTTCTGCAGTACTGGCCATTTCAAATCAAAATAATTTTTGTTTGGCTAAGAATTCTGATTTCAATTTAATTTAAATTTTTAAAAATGGATTCTGTTTCCAAAATTAGTAATTATTGATTAACGTTATGTTTTCATCGCATTTCAATCGTTTTACGTTAAAAATTCTTAATACGTTAAAAATTCGAGTAATCGTGTAATATATTGTTTCTGTTCTGCAAATTTCGACTTGAAAAATGAAGTCCGTAGTCGTCCGAAAACTTTCGTCGACAATGATGAATTAAACGTGATTGTGGAAGCTGATGATACTCAATCTACGGCTGAATTAACAGTAGCCTTCGACCTTAGCATCAAAACAATATTGGTCTATTTGCGTCAAATTGCCAAGGTGAAAAAGCTTGACAAATGGGTGAGCAACGAACTCACTGGTCGCCAGCGCGAAGTTTGAGTCAAGACGTACCATGCATTGGCCAACAGGCATACAAACGAAGGAATTTTGAACCTCGTTGTTACTTGCGATGAAAAATGGATTCTGTTCGACGATCACAAGCGCTCAGCAAGTTGGTTGGATCCTTTTTCAGAACCTAAACTATGCTTTTAGCGAAAACTTACACCTAAAAAAATGATAGCCACTGTTTGGTGGTACAGCGCAAGTGTGATTCATCACAGTTTCTGACGAAACGGGATGAGCATCACTGCATATGTGTACTATGAAGAAATAATAATAATATCAATAATTCGATTCGACGATTTAGCGAGAGGTCAAGGCGGTTCAACCAGAATCGTCTCTTCCAGAGTGATCAGAAGAGGTTCTATAAATCATTGGAGCGACCGGAGGTATGTGGAGCGGGCCCAGGACCGAATCAGGCCGACACTGTCGCATTTTGGCGTGGCCTGTGGTCAGAGCCCGTAAACCACAGCGAGGGCCCTTGGATGGAAGTTGTGGCGAGCCAGAGTGCAAGTGTTACGCTTATGGACCCCGTCACCATAACGCCTGAAGACGTGGCTGAGGCGGTCCGTAGGGCCCCGAACGGAAAAGTCCGGGGCTCGACGGGCTGCATCATTACTGGCTGAAGGGGTTTGTAGTGTGTCACGCTGTGCTCGCCCGACAGTTTCAAGAGGCTCTCGATCAGAAGTCGCTCCCGAGCCTCTTCACTACTGGGATCACTCATTTGGTTCCTAAAGATCAGGATACCACAGACCCGAGCAAATACCGCCCCATCACGTGTCTTCCCACCATATATAAGACACTGACATCCATTTTGAGCGCGAGAATCACTCGTCACCTGGAGCTAAATCAGGTGATGTCACGCGCTCAAAATGGATGCCGGGGCGGTGACCGTGGAACCAAGAAACCACTCCTCATTGACGCGGTCATTGGCAAAGTGGTGAAACGCAACCGTCGGAATTTCTCCGCCGCCTGGATAGACTACAGAAAGGCATTCGACTCGGTGCCACATACATGGCTAAAGAGAGTCCTCCAGCTGTACAAAATTGACTGTACAGTTGGAGACTTCCTCGAGCAGTATATGGGGCAATGGAGTACGATCCTTTGCTATCTGGGCGAGCGGATGATGGCTGCGGAGAACCACATAAGGATAAGAAGGGGTATCTTCCAGGGCGATTGTCTGAGTCCAATCTGGTTTTGCATCTCCCTGAACCCTCTCAGTACTTTACTGGAGGGCTCCGGGAGGGGATTTCAGCTTTGGAAAGGAGGTACAAAAGTGACCCACCTTTTCTATATGGATTACCTCAAGTTATTCGCCTCCAGTCGCTCCCATCTTATGGAATTGCTAAACATCACTTGTGAATTTAGCAATTCTATAGGAATGGAGCTGGGAACGGATAACGGATGTGCGGTCCTCCATGTTGAAAGGGGAAGGGTTGCTAACTCTAAGGGCATAGACTTATCTATGCCCGTCAACTTAAGGACCCTTTCCGAGGCTGAAACATACCGATACCTGGGTATGTCACAGAACATCGGTATCGATGAGGCTGGTATGAAACAGTCACTTTGCGACGTGTTTTATGCACGCTTGACCAAAGTGCTTAACAGCCTTTTGTCCGGTGTGAATAAGACACACGCATATAATGGTTGGGTCATGCCTGTCCTCATGTATACCTTTGGCATACTCAGATGGACCCAGACTGAACTTAACGCCCAGGATAGAAAAGTCCGCACTACCATGACGTCCCATAGGATGCATCATCCGAGATCGTCGGTAATGAGGCTGTACTTGCCGCGAAAGCGTGGTAGACGTGGTTTTCTGAGCGCGCTCACCATGCATAATCGCGAAGTGTGCTGCCTCCGTGATTACTTCTTGGCGAGATCGGATGATCCATTCTATAATGACGTCATTTCTAGTGATAAAGGGCTTACCCCTCTATCCTTAGCCAACGAGCAATGGCAGGACCCAACAGTGCTTAGCATTTCCGACCGGGAGACCGTATGGAAGGAGAAGGAGCTCCACGGGAGGTTCTACAAGGCTCTACATGAGCCTTTCGTAGACACAGTAGCCTCCACTGGCTACGCTTTGGTGATCTCTTCGGGGAAACCGAGGGTTTTGTCTGTGCAATACAGGATCAGGTTATTAAGACCAACAACTATCGGAGATACATCCTAAAGGATGGCACCGTCGACATCTGTCGAGCTTGTCGCCATCCCGGTGAGTCACTTGGGCATGTCATCTCCAGTTGTTTGGCGCTTTCTAACTCTTAGTACTTGCATAGACACAACCTAGTATCCAGAATTCTACACCAGGAGCTCGCTCTGAAATATGGTCTCGTGGACCGGAAATTGCCGTACTACAAGTACTTTCCGGAAGCCGTGCTCCAAAATGACCGCACCTGACGGCTTTACTGGGACCGGTCCATCATCACAGATAGGACTATTCTTGCGAATAAGTCTGATATTGTGCTGATGGACCGGGCACAGTCAAGGATATTTTTGGTCGACATTACCATTCCGTATGACGAGAACTTCGTGAAAGCCGAAACAGATAAGCGAACAAAATATCTGGAGCTGGCTCACGAGGTGACCAACATGTCGGGTGGTCTGCCGGTCGAAATTATTCCTGTAGTCGTCTTTGCGAATGGGCTAATCCCAGTCAGGGGGGGTCTCAGTCAGGCGACTGGGACTCCGTGACGGACCGCTCCGGGCACAAATGCAGAAGGCAGTGCTCCTCGATACCGCCCGCATCGTCCGCCGGTTTCTTTCCCTTTCCTTCTAACCCTCGGCCGTCTGGTCTCACCTGACGAGGGCTTCCATCTGGTTGGATTTATTTATGTATTTTTGTATTTATTTTATTGTACTGATGTTTATGTATGTTTACCTTTTCATTTTAATTTATAATTATATATTTATAGAACCCAACCAGATGAGAAAACTATATAGATACCCCACAATAATAAAATGGCGTAAGGAATTGACGACCCCATCGCCCGCTAACGCAACAGTTAAGTGACAAAACTGCTACATTAACGCAGTCAGTCAGCGCCTTGCGAGAGGTGTGAGCGCCGTGCCTCGGCAGAATTCAGGGTGCAAAGGCCCGTTTGTGCTTATGGCCGTCCTCGATACGGTGCCGGGCCTGGGTGTCTCCCGTTAATGGACGCCCAAATTATGGATGATGGAAAAAAAGATAGTGCGCAAACGGCCGCTGCCTGGAGGACGTCAGGGCGCGTCTGGAGCTGGCGCTGGACGCGACAGCATGCGGGCCGCCAGCCGAGCGCGGGGTGTTGCATGACCACCTAGCAGCCCCCCGCATCCATCATCCCCACCAGAGGGCTTGGTGTCGGCTGGGTCTTCTCGGACTCAGCAAGCGGCACCCGGCGCTGGTGAAGCACGTCGCATGCGTTGGTCAAAATTAATGAACGCAAACGCACTGCGGGCGTATTTTAGGGCAAAAGGGGAAGAAACTGGATGTTTGGCGTATCGGGCTCGGATGCATCGCTTTTTTGCAGAGCTGGAGTCATCTCTATCCGTCACTGAGCAAAACCTGGCAGACCGAGTTCGGTACATCCTGCGCTCCAACATATTTGGTGATGCCGAACTCGAACGACTACGATGTGAGGCTCCTTCATCGAATGAAAATGCTACGGCTGGGAATGCGGCGCCACTAGATGCGCAACAAACTGCATATGTGGATGCTGCCGTCAATATTCCATTTGTGGCTAATTCAGACGATGATGGAATAGTCTCCCACGAACTAGAGAAAATGAGGAGCATATTGGAAGAGTCGATGCTGGAAACGCGCAGCATGCCTCTCGAAAATCGACCGCGACTTCCCCCGCATACCCCTTAGCAAGCGAAATCGGGCTGTCGTGCGGGCTCTTAACCCAATGCTGGTGACCTATTTGGAAGCCAGCCGGGAGCTTTGCGAGACGGACTCAATTCTTTTTGACGCCGCACTGGCAGTATGCCGTATTATTGGCGCCAAACTTCCCGTGGCTGGACGTGCTACTCAAAAAAGTAGCGCCATCCCAGCCTGGAGAAAAAGAATTGAGGACCGTATCGCAAAGGCAAGGGCCCTTATTGGTAGACTGACAAGCTTCAGGTCGGGTAATAATAGACCGAGAGTTGTGCCGTTAGAATGGCGTTTGCTCGTACAAATATTAGTTTGTCCCAGCTGGATATCACGCAGAAACTAACGGAGCGCATAGATGATCTGAAGCAAAAAATCGCTGCTTGGGGGAAGCGGATTCGACGATTTAGCGAGAGTTTAAGGCGGTTCAACTAGAATCGTCTCTTCCAGAGTGAACAGAAGAGGCTCTATAAATCATTGGAGCGACCAGAGGTATGTGGAGCGGGCCCAGGACCGGATCAGGCTGACACTGTCGCATTTTGGCGTGGCCTGTGGTCAGAGCCCGTAAACCACAGCGAGGGCCCTTGGATGGAAGTTGTGGCAAGTGTGTGCCAGAGTGCAAGTGTTACGCTTATGGACCCCGTCACCATAACGCCTGAAGACGTGGCTGAGGCGGTCCGTAGGGCCCCGAACTGGAAAAGTCCGGGGCTCGACGGGCTGCATCATTACTGGTTGAAGGGGTTCGTAGTGTGTCACGCTGTGCTCGCCCGACAGTTTCAAGAGGCTCTCGATCAGAAGTCACTCCCGAGCCTCTTCACTACTGGGATCATTCATTTGGTTCCTAAAGATTAGGATACCACAGACCCGAGCAAATACCGCCTCATCACGTGTCTTCCCACCATATATAAGACACTGACATCCATTTTGAGCGCGAGAATCACTCGTCACCTGGAGCTAAATCAGATGATGTCACGCGCTCAAAATGGATGTCGGGGTGGTGGTCGTGGAACCAAGAAACCACTCCTCATTGACGCAGTCATTGGCAAAGTGGTGAAATGCAACCGTCGGAATTTCTCTGCCGCCTGGATAGACTACAGAAAGGCATTCGACTCGGTGCCCCATACATGGCTAAAGAGAGTCCTCCAGCTGTACAAAATTGACTATACAGTTGGAGACTTCCTCGAGCTGTTTATGGGGCAATGGAGTACGATCCTTTGCTATCTGGGCGAGCGGATGATGGATGCGGAAAACCACATCAGGATCAGCAGGGGTATCTTCCAGGGCGATTGTCTGAGTCCAATCTGGTTTTGCCTCTCCCTGAACCCTCTCAGTACTTTACTGGAGGGCTCCGGGAGGAGATTTCAGCTTTGGAAAGGAGGTACAAAAGTGACCCACCTTTTCTATATGGATGACCTCAAGTTATTCGCCTCCAGTCGCTCCCATCTTATGGAATTGCTAAACATCACTTGTGAATTTAGCGGTTCTATTGGAATGGAGCTGGGAACGGATAACGGATGTGCGGTCCTCCATGTTGAAAGGGGAAGGATTGCTAACTCTGAGGACATAGACTTATCTATGCCCATCAACTTAAGGACCCTTTCCGAGGCTGAAACATACCGATACCTGGGTATGTCACAGAACATCGGTATCGATGAGACTGGTATGAAACAGTCACTTTGCGACGTGTTTTAGGCATGCTTGACCAAAGTGCTTAACAGCCTTTTGTCCGGTGTGAATAAGACACACGCATATAACGGTTGGGTCATGCCTGTCCTCATGTATACCTTTGGCATACTCAGGTGGACTCAAACTGAACTTAACGCCCTGAATAGAAAAGTCCGCACTACCATAACGTCCCATAGGATGCATCATCCGAGATCGTCGGTAATGAGGTTGTACTTGCCGCGAAAGCATGGTGGGCTTGGCTTTGTGATCGCGCTCACCATGCATAATCGCGGAGTGTGCAGCCTCCGTCATTACTTCCTGGCGAGATCGGATGATCTATTCTACAATGACGTCATTTCAAGTGATAAAGGGTTTACACCTCTATCCTTAGCCAACGAGCTATGGCAGGACCTAGCAGTGCTTAGCATTTCGACCGGGAGGCCGTATGGAAGGAGAAGTAGCTCCACGGGAGGTACTATACAGCTTTACATGAGCCCTTCGTAGATAAAGTTGCCGCCCTCAACCAGCTACGTTTCGGTGACCTCTTCGGGGAATCCGAGGGTTTTGTCTGTGCAATACAGGATCAGGTTATTAAGACCAACAACTATCGGAGATACATCCTAAAGGATGGCACCGTCGACATCTTCGAGCTTGTCGCCATCCCGGTGAGTCACTTGGGCATGTCATCTCCGGTTGTTTGGCGCTTTCTAACTCTTAGTACTTGCATAGACACAACCTAGTAGCCAGAATTCTACACCAGGAGCTCGCTCTGAAATACGGTCTCGTGGACCGGAAATTGCCATACTACAAGTACTTTCCGGAAGCCGTGCTCCAAAATGACCGCACCTGACGGCTTTACTGGGACCGGTCCATCATCACAGATAGGACTATTCTTGCGAATAAGTCTGATATTGTGCTGATGGACCGGGCACAGTCAAGGATATTTTTGGTCGATTTACCATTATTACCATTCCGTATGACGAGAACTTCGTGAAAGCCGAAACAGATAAGCGAACAAAATATCTGGACCTGGCTCACGAGATGACCAACATGTCGGGGGGTCTGCCGGCCGAAATTATTCCTGTAGTCGTCTTTGCGAATGGGCTAATCCCAGTCAGGGGGGTCTCAGTCAGGCGACTGGGACTCCGTGACGGACCGCTCCGGGCACAAATGCAGAAGGCAGTGCTCCTCGATACCGCCCGCATCGTCCGCCGGTTTCTTTCCCTTTCCTTCTAACCCTCTATATTAACCCTCGGCCGTCTGGTCTCCCCTGACGAGGGCTTCCATCTGGTTGGATTTATTTATGTATTTTTGTATTTATTTTATTGTACTGATGTTTATGTATGTTTACCTTTTCATTTTAATTTATAATTATATATTTATAGAACCCAATCAGATGAGAAAACTATATATATATATACCCCATAATAATAATAATAATAACGTTTATTTCTCACCACAAACAAAGTTAAATTTAGAGTTATAAGTAGCATATAAGTAGTACAAAACAACTTTGCCCGTGGATCGCTGGTGTCTATGGTGTGTAAGATACCCGTATTATAGGTCACCAGGTCTCCACCTCTACGAGGAATGCTATTTATATCTAAAACATTAACACATAAAGATTAACTCTATTTCCTCATTTGTCATACCTAATTGAAATTATTGGTTATGGTTAAGAAAACTTAGAAAAGTGTGTGTGTGTGTGTGTGTGTGTGTGTGTGTGTGTGTGTGTGTGTGTGTGTGTGTGTGTGTGTGTGTGTGTGTATGTATGTATGTATGTATGTATGTGTATGTGTATTTTACACGACAACCTCCAAAACACTTTCTGTTTTTGCATAGGTTTGCCATTTGAGAATAATGTTTTTGCACTCATATTGATTTCGAGAAAAGAGGGATAAGGTTTTATGCAATTTATTATATAAATATGGGCCAAGGAATATGAAGAATCTGTAACTAAATGCAGTTTTAACTTGAGTAGACTTTGCAACTAGTTGGTTACGTCATGTACATTCAGGGTTATATTTGGTTGAGGCATGTTGTTTGAGAGCGGTGGTTAAAATGAATAATTGTCTAACTGTTAGTACTTGGCAATAGTCGTAAAGTTGGTCTGTAGGAAACATACGCGGTTTAAAAACATACTTTTAAAACAGCTCTCTGCGCCCGTTCAAGTTGTATAAAATTACTTTTAGTCGCACCATCCCACGTGGATATGCAATATGATAAAATTAATTGACACAATGCCATATAAACCATCTTCATGATTTTCTAATCTGCAGATTGACGTAATTGTTTAAAAATGTAGATAAGTTTACGGACTCTGTTTGACAGGTGTTCAATGTAAGCGTTAAATGTGAGGTTATTATCAATTATAATTCCAAGATATTTTATGGATGTCACTTTTTTATATAGTGTAGGTCATTATTGGCTGTACTATTTCTTATATCAAGGGGAGGCTTAACAGCGATTTGTAATGAGTTTGTTGTTGAATTTTTTGTGTTTCGAATAGCAAAGTCTATTAATTTTGTTTTATCTATGTTCAACGTAAGTAAATGCGCATTTAACCATTTATTTACAATGTTAAACCCTTTTTGAGCAAGGGAATACGTTTCAGTCCAAGTGTTCGAATGAAACACAAGTGCAGTGTCATCTGCGTAGGAAAAGATCATCCCGTTTAAAAGATTGATGTTTGACAAGTCATTTATATATACTAAAAACAAACTTGGGCCTAGAATACTTCCCTGCGGTACACCATACGTAATTTGTAGGTCAGAACTACTATAAGGACCAATCCTAACACATTGAGTTCTATTACTTAAATAACTTTGGAATAAAGATAACTGAATTCCTCTTACTCCTAAAGATTGAAGTTTTGAAATTAGGATAGGTATCGAAACAGTATCAAACGCCTTTGTAAGGTCAAGAAACAAGGAAATACATTTTTGACGTATGTCTAGATTCCTGACTACAAAATCAATAAGGCTGTGGACAGCATCAGATGTACACAATTTTTTTCGAAACCCAAATTGGGTTTTAGAGAGCAGTTTATTAGTCTCTAAATAATTAACAAGCCTTGTGTTAATTATTTTCTCGAGGATCTTCGACATCGTAGGCAAAACTGATAAAGGTCTATAGTTTTCGATACGATTTCGATCGCCGGATTTAAAAATAGGGTGAACTATTGCCTTTTTAAACAAATCAGGGAAAATGCCTGTCTGGAGACTCAAATTACAAATATATGTGGGAGGTGAAATAATAAAATTTTTATGATTTTTTTAAGAATTCTGAAGAAATACCATCCCAACCAGCTATTCGGTTGTTATTCTAAGACATAATTAAGCGTTCGACTTCAGTTTCAAGCAAAACAAAGGATTTGGAATAAGTAACGGATGCCGGTAATATTCCGAGCCTCTTTCTAATTTGTCTGCCAGTGGTTTTCCTATATTTGAAAAATATGTGTTTATATCTTCAACAGATTTTTCTTTTCGTTGATGTATTGGAGATCAGACGCCGTTGATTGCTGTTTAATTAAATTTGTAACAGTTTGAATGAATTTCCACAGTTGCTTGGAGTTTTTGCCGGCTCTTTGAAATTCCAGCTTCTCATAATTACTTTTTACACTTCGCAGGAGGTTGGTACAGAATTTGCGATATCTTTTATAAGTAATTCTAAGAATCTGGTTTGGTGGGTCTTTTTTTGATTTTTTATATAATCTATCTCTGTTTCGCAAGCATTTCAACAAAGCCAGAGTGATCCAAGGCTTAATAGGTCTACGTCTACAAGACAGAAATAAAGTTTTGGTATTGTTGGCTATAGTTGAAATAATAGGTTCGACCAAGAATTTAACAGCTAAGTTAGGCTCATTCGTTGTGTATACAGAGTTAAAGTTAATACAGTGTAATTCATGAATAAGCTTATCTTCATTTTTTTAAACATTTACGATTACATAATTTCATTTTAATTTTTGAGAGGGCAAACATAACGGCAAAGTGGTCTGTTACAGTAGTTTCCAGAACTAGAACCTTAGCGGAAAAAGCACGTGTAACGTGATCAAGACTGGTAGAACCATGAGTTGGGAAGTTGTGACCAGGAAGCAGTCCATGATGAACAAGTAGATCAAGATAATCTAAAGTATTTGTGGAATGAAACCCGTTGGCAATATGTATATTAATGTTTCCTACAAGAATAATGGTTTGGAATGATTTACGATCCGTGAGGACAAAATCCAAAGACTGAAAGAATTTTGATGGATCAACAAAAGCGTGTGGTCTATATATAGCAACAATAGCCACATCTATACCTATAGTATACCTACACCAGACAGTTACATTCAATTGTAATAGGTTCTTTTACTTTAATATTAGCTAAACAAGACTTGATCTATACAATAACACCGTCATTTTTATTGTAGTTTTTTGAAGTTTTATAATGATTATATCCATTGAGAACGATAATGTCGCAGCAAGTATTAATTCTTTCTAACAACGTTAAAAGTCCTGAAAAATTAGCATTGATGCTACGGATATTTTGAGACAAAACAGTGACAACTATGACATGATGTAAGCAAATCAGTAAATTTTTCGGGATTACATAATATTGCTTCATTAAAGGAAGTATTATCAAGATTATTTAATAGGTCATTTAATGCAGCGCCTTTTAGTTATGTTTTTAAATAGGTAGCATAGACAAGATGATTTGTATTCAAAAATAAGAATATTAAGCATATTAAATATATCCATGAATGTGTACAAATAGCAAATATTATGTAATTTGTGAGAGCGTTAATTTGATTTGAGAGTTGAATGTATATGTTTTTTTGTGTGAGGTTATAAAAATAGTCGAGCACGTATATATATTATTTGTTTGTAAATATTTTGTGGGTTGATGTGTTAGTAGTTTATACACTAGTATATTATAAAAGTAAACAGTGGGTAGTTTAGAATTCATACAGAATAATTTTGTAAATATAAAGCCACTTACACAAACTTAGTTATAAATGCAAGCAATTTATAAGAAATCATAATTAAACAGGTAATGCATAATATTATAAAAGTACCTAGTCATATTATATTTTTTAAATTTGAAATATCATTTTCATTTTTTATTTCTATCCGAGCGCCACCTTCAGTTTTCCGCAAATAAATTCGGCCCTTGTTAGTTCAGCAATATCGGTAATTCATTGTCTTAGCTGTATCACGTGAAATCACATGAAATGAACTCAATAATGGAGAAGCTTTCACATCTCCAACCAGCTTTGGTCTATCACTCGTCCTCGCTGCACCTTTACGACCACCAAGTTACAAGGACTGGGGTTGGAAGCTATTCGTCATCAGCCTTGCGCCAAAAGACTTCTACTTTTTCCAGAATTTGGATCACTTTTTGGTGGGAAAATAAATTCAATACACGATTGGCAGTACAGAATGCCATTAAATAATTTGTTTTATCAAGGAGGCCATCAATAAACTGCCACTGCGTTGGTAAAGATGCCTGGGTTTTTTATTAATAGCAATTACTTTAATTAATAGCAAAAAAATATGACGTTAACTTATTTTATAAAAAAGCGTCAATTTCATAGGTAAAGAACTAATATATTAATGATATTTGCGTCACTGTTTTTGCCGATAGTTAAATATTGCTGCCACTCCTGTGTTCTGTTCTGCAAGTTAAGCATTTCATTTTAGTCCTCAGAAGCGATAATGCATCTGTAGCTTCTTTGTTCTAAGATGGTCTCACAGTACTCACTTACCATCTGTTGGACTGTAACTTCATTTTTCACCTTAAAATTATCATTTAAATATTTTATTCTAATAGTTATAGTATTTTAAGTAAATTTTGTGACCGTAAAAGCTTTTAAGAGCAATTTAAATTCATTGATTGCCGACTATTCACAGTAACTGATAAAGTTCTATAAATGAATTACGCGGCGCTCGTTAGCCGTCTTCCCCCGATTTAAAATAATCTTATTTAATTACCCTAATCAATCGCAAACTAAGGATTATCGGAATCTTCATATGTCCACTGCTAAACATAGGCCTCCCCTAAGGAATGCCATTACACGCAATCCTGTATGTCTTATTAGGTTATCAATCCATCTAGTGGGAGGCCACCCTACACTTCTCTTACTGGTCTCTTACAAGGCTGCAAATCGAGAATCTTTCTTCTCTCCTTTCGGTTGTCGGGTCTTCCAACTTGAGTGGAGTCTGGGCTTAAGGGCTTAAGCTTAAAATTTATTCAGAAATAATGTTACGAACTGGAAATAAAAATGGAATAGACGTGGGGAAAAGTTTTGCCTTTAGAAAAATAAATTGAGAAAATTCAAATTGACAAACAAGACATTACTGACATTTTTCCAATAACTTATTATACTAATGCGTAATTTTTTCTATTTATTTGTGAGATCTAGATTAATTTTAAAGGTGAAAATACATGACATACTGCCGTGGCAGGTTAGGCAATACGCGCAGTACGTGAGTTAACCAAGCTTGTTCCCCGCCGGCTCCAATTAAATTGTTAAGTGCAGTTTAAGTTCTAGGTGGTAGGAATGCTTTTTTGCCCATGAGTCCGTCTGAGTAGGCACCTCGCTCTTGGCTATTTCTGCCACCAAATAATGTGCTCCAGACCGAATTTCGGTCACGGTGGCCAGACTCGACGGAGACTAGCCATCGGCGCAGGAAAGGATTATATTGACCAAGTGTATGCGCAAGCACAGGTACACTCTCTATTCCCTCACTCTCATAATCCGATGGGACGGTGAACCGACATGACCGATGAGAGATCAGGTGCAGAACCAACGGCTTTCCGAGGCACGGAGTTGAGACACCGCCAATTTGCTAACTCTGGGCAGCTACTGAGAATTTCTTGACGGAAAAACTCAATGATTGATTTTTTCATTAGAATCCAAGACCTCATGATCTGCAGTCACACTACTACAACCACTAGACCAACAAGGCAGCCGCCAAATAGCAGTGCTTGCAGTGTTCCGGAGTTTGGGGAAATGAGAACCAGTATAATTACAGGAGCCCTCCAACTTTGTTCACAGTGGTGATCTGTAGCCTTCTTGTTAAAAGTTGGCTGCAGATGTACATTGACTGAAGTCAGATGGACTTGAAGTTGTAAAATATGCTAACAAGTGAGAATGGCACGGTGAATTTTCTTGTCTTAAAACCCTTCCGGGAATGGGATGTCTGTGCCTAGCTGTGGGACATATATAGGCTGTTTCACTTTACTTCACATGATAATGTTCATCATGCATTATTTCGGTTGATCAGTGAAGGTCAAATTTAATTTGTCAACGACTCGTAGTGAATAGGTGTTGGCTCCCTTGGCTTTGTTCTTCGATGTGACATTGTAAAGTGTGAATACGTGATATACGCGAGTGTCATTTATGTTCGGCATAGCGAAAAGTACTTTCTTTTCAGTGGGGTTCTTTCAACGGGGGAATGAAATATGCGGCGCTTCAATTTTCCGTTGTTTCACATTTGACGTGTGTTCATTGTGCTTAAAAAGTTCCGCTGTGCATTTTTTTCCAAAGAGATAAGAAAAACGAACATTAATCTTTTCATAAACTGTGTCATTTGTTAATAGTTACCTTTTATATTTTTTTTACTTACTAATGTAACAAATCATTAACAAAAATAAGTAAATGATCTCTAGTGGCGAGTTTGATGGAATAACATATAATTTCTATAAAAATTGTTTTATGTATTATAAACATCCAAGAAGCGGCATTCCGATGACCCTGACCCTACGGCTGTGAAGGAGAAGGTTTAGCGTGAATAAAAGACGCCCTGTCCCTATTTCCCTCGTAGTTATTGTCAAATATTTTGTTTACATAATGCACGAAGGTCCGAGTGGTGAGGCCGAGGCGATGGCGCGGCACGCGAGGCGCCTCGTAGGCTCGTAGCTTGCGGCAGTCACGCGACGACGGCCGAGCGCTACGGAGCCCAGTACCGTAGCATTGATTGGCTACGCAAAACGCTACGTGGTCTACGTGATGCATTACCTGATATTACTGGCATTTTTTGCCACAGCCCATGCACGTGCGGTAAGAGATATTTTTATTTACTCAATCTAATTTTTATTGACATAATATTTAAAATCAGTTCAAACATTGAAATAAAAAAATATTTAAAAAATTTTATCTTTCCGTTTTTTTTTTAAATTTTGTATTAAATTATATATTGTTTCAGTGCAATATTAAATATATATAAAATAAAATTTTTATAGTGGTATGGCAACTACAGATTTTGTTACATAAAACGTAACTTCGCTATTAGCATATTTTTCAAAGTTGCAGTCATTTTTTGAAATCGTAACTCAAATGAGATTCTGTGTTGCGCGTTAAGTTATAATGAAAATGCATACAAATGAGATCACTTTCATATTATAAAGCAGGAGCATTCTTTAATATACGAATTAATATTATAAAATAGCGGCCCGTCTCGGCTTCTTATATTAATTTGACGTTATTTAAATTTAAGACATGTAAGCATCATTTAATCTAGCAATATGCCTTTTATTAAATATCTCCAAGTCTTTTGGGATATAGCCTAGATCATTTCCTGAATTACTCTCTATCTCTTATATATACTCTATAGTTAGTAAAGGTAGCTCAGACAGACAGACAGATAGACAAACATTTTAAAAATGTTCATTATTTCCATATTACAGATAAATACTTCAATTTTATTTATATGTATTGATAAGAAAATAATAATTGAATGAGTTCTGTAAATCGTTACCGCGTATTGTCTAATTATATTTTTTTTTCATTCGGAATTTAATTAAAGCAGTCGATTATTAAAGCTAATATCATGTTAAAATATAACTTAAATATTTAATTTATTTTATTAAATAATTTCATAATTTCAAAACTCATTAACAAATGGATATTAGCTCTTTTATATTTTAGTTAATTAAGTGATATTAAATGTAGTTTACAAGATATATGATTCGACTGTAATTATAAATTAATTGTAATATATTAAAAGGCACGTTAACGCGTTATTACTTTCATACTGTTTACTCTGTTAACACAACGATCCCGCGGGCTAATTACTAATTGCAAAGTTTAGGTTTTTTTTTGATAAACATTACCGCCACACTAGGATTTTCTCCTGTATTATGGAGGATTTTTCATACATAAATCGCACACGGATAGAGGTCCGTACACATAATAATGATTTGTAGGCCAGATAAAAACATGGTCAGTGAGAGAATTGACCCGCAGTGCCGTACCCACATGAAAAGCCACTTCGCTGCCGAGCCCTCAAATACGTGTTTATGAGTGTATTTTTTATAGAATAAGAGTGACAAACGAGCACACAGTTCACCTGATGGTAAGTGGATGCTGTGGCCCATAGACATCTACATTTATCCTCGATTAAGAATCAAAACGCAGATGCGTTGTCACCCCTGAGGGCTAAGATGGAACGCCTCGTTGCCGGTAAAAAAGGGTCTCCGTCTCTCTACACTCACCATACGACAAACACAGCAGTATTAAACTGATATTTTACGCTGGTATTCTGTGAGAGCGCGGTCTTGCCCCGGTAGAGCCGATCCATTCCTGCTACAACCATAATGTAGCTGCAGCGTGGCTCTACCACGTATAAAAGTTACTATAACAAAACCGCGTAGTGGCGGTGTAAGGATATTTACTACCCGATATCATCCGTCCCATATCATGCCGTAAGAGGTGACAGAGGAAAACTGACCTATTAGATGGGCAGCAATATCTTCTTCTACTTCACGACGCTCGACGTCACAATCAAACTTTAACCAAGATCGTCGACGCTCAATAAAAATTTAAAAACTGCGATTGCCAAGCTACTGACCAAGCATGTCAACTATGGCAAATATCCCCTATGAGGTGGATCTATGGGTGAGACCTATTATCAGCAGTAAAATTTTAACACGTTGTAATGGTAATGGATTACCATTACTCTGCCATCGCTTTGTTCAATTTAAAATATAATTATTTTTAGCTTCAGTAAATCTTAATATACATAAATTACGTGTCACGTTGTTTGTCCACGATAGACTCCTAAACTACTTAACCGATTTTAATCAAATTTGCACTCCGTGTGCAGTTTGGTCCAACTAGAGAGATAGGATAGTTTTTTGCCCATGAGTGACCTACAATTTTTTTTGCGAATTTAAGGATTTTTAATAGGACGTGACCAAGGGTCGTCGAAAATGGAAGAACAACGTCTGCCTGGTATAGGTAACTAGTATAAATATATAAATATGCAAATAATTTTCCTCTACATTCTTTTTAAGTAAGCGGATGGTGCTTTTTACAAATATTATTTTTTCGAATTTACGTATAAAGTGGGACAGAAATCTATAAAAAATATCTCAAAAATAGCTTAATTTTACTGCCTCTTAAATTAAATTAAAATACTTATATAAATAGTACACATACAGTTAGAGATGACGGAGGGAAATAAAACAGAGGATAAACAGCAGCCATTTTTTTTTCAAATAGCAAAATTTCTCTTGTAACAATTTCCCTGCCAACCGTAGCAACTATGGCGAATATCATCCTTCAAAGGCGTTAATAAAGTGCGTCAAAAGTTGTGTTCTTAGAAAAATTATGGAAACATTGGAACAAACCAATATATTTTTACGGTACCTATATATATCTTACGCGTGTCCTAACACAGACTTTGTTAATTTAATTTTATATCTTGATTATAGCTTTAGTTAATCAAATGTTATAAGCCCGTTAAAGTTTTAGACGTGGTAGAGCCATGCTACAGTCATATTATTAGTATAGTTGTAGCATGAATGGGTCGGCTCGATCGGGAAAGGACCACGCTCTTACAGAATACTAGCGTCAAATAGTAGCTTAATGCTGCTGTGTATGGTGAGTGTGGAGAACCGGACACCCGTTTTACTGGAAACGAAGCATTACATCTAAGCTCTCACGGGTGACAACGCATCTGCATTTTGATTCGTAATTGAGGATGGATGTAGATGTCTATGGGCCACAGAAATCACTTTCCATCAGGTGGACTGCGTGCTCGTTTGTCACCCTATCCTATAAAAAAGTACATTGCTGGACCTCTACCTATGCAGGAAGGATTTTGTCGTCACGCTCGATAAGGGATTGAAGATCGCAATACGCAGGCCTTTTTGCATGTCTAACGCTACTGCCCATATATTGTCTAGGTATTTTGCACCTGGTGTTCAAAGTGAGATACTACCGCCGTTCAGAATCCTTTCTGAAAATTGCAATTTTCGCCACTTATGACACCCAAGAGATGAAGTGTGGTGACGAATACTTACGCTGCCACAACATTGTTACGTCATAATTTTTTTTTGCATAATAAACTATCTACCTAAATTTCTTAAATAATAAACAATATCAATGTTTTAAATTAATTATTAACTTTAACATCACGTTACATAATAGCTTTTAAGTCCACTGCAACATGACGTTGACGTAGATCTTTCTAAGAATGCAGCAATTCAGTTTGCGGCATCACTAGAAACTTTTTGCCCGTACTCAGTACGTTCAGGGATGGCGAGCGCTGAGGTGATACCATCGTACTGGTACTGCTGCTGTCCATATCTTGTATTTAAAATATGGATTCAGCATTTTTGATGAGTTTTATGGCATCAATTAGACGCCAGAGCCTCATCTTGTTCGTAAATTGGAAACGTACACGGCATGGCGGTGTGGTTGGTATTTATTTTTAATTTATAATAATTTGAATAATCGACAAAATGTTTATTTAGAAGGCATTTATATAATACTAAATCGTAGATTTACTTAAGCTGTGCTTATCTTACCCTTAAGGATGAGCGTTCGAGGTAATATCGACGATCTTAAAGTGATGTTTATTCTACAAAATGAAAAATGCAAAATGGATGTATAGAACAACGTTATTTAGCTTAAAAAATTTGCCAGTACCTTTCGTCTTCAATAATTTACAGGTCATACACAACATTACTAATATAAAAAAGTAAAATAGTTCGTTTATAACATCGAAATAAGTAATCACTTGCATGTTATTAAAATATGAATATTTAAAAATGTTGTGTAGTCCGGGCTAATATCTCCGTAATGCCTAAAGTGTACTATCCGTAATGAACTTTAAAAAAATATAAACAAATAGATCTTTGATGATTATCTCATAAAAATGTTTCTAACTAAACCCTTTTTGGTTTGCAATTTACCACAAAAAGTCCTCATATCTTATCTTCTTTCTTTTAAGATTAAAAAAATAGTGTATAATAATATATCCAATTTTTTATTTCAAAACCGTCAGCGTGTATGTGAATGGATAAAGTAATTAGAAATTTTTAACGATAACTTAATACACCTTAAATTTTTATTATGAACTTTTTCCTACGGCAAAAGAGAATTCACTACCTCATATATTTCTGTGAGTTTCATATGAAAGAAATAAGGGGTTGTAAAACTATCAGCGTCATTCCTGATAACAGTCAATAAAAAACTGCGACTGATAACCCGCGTGCCAAGCGTGGCTACTATATAAATTATCCCCATATGAGGAAATCTATTGTAAAGACCTATTGCTAAACAGTGGATCAATAGGCTGTAATGATGATGTTTAATAATGATTTTTCGATATGAAAGTGGTTTTTGATTAGGTTAATTACTTTATATTGAACATAAATAGTGGGTGAACCTAGTGTTTTTATAAATATCTTCTTTGTTTAGAATAATTACTGACAATATAAAGAATCTTTGTAAAATAAGTGTTAAAAGAAACACGAGGTACACCATCTATTTTATTTTAAGAATCAAATGTAGACGCGTCACCCCTGAGGATTAAGATGAAATGCCTCGTACTAGTAAAAAGGGTTGCTGATTCTCTACACTCATCATATAAAATAGCAACATTAAGCTGCTATGTTACGCTAGTATTCCGTGAGAGCGTGATGTTTTCTCGTTCGAGCCCACATATTCTGTTTAAAAGGGGTACGATTATGGCTAATGCTCTCTACTGTGTGGAATTTTATGCACCGACAAACAAAAAGTAGAATAATATATCGACAGTTTCGCTTGTTTACGGTGCAGTTAAATAAAAATTAAAGTAAAGTAAATCTTATCGTCTATATACGTAACGGTATCATGATAATTATTTCTTTTGTACAATCTTACACATATCTGAGGGCATACCAAACCGTGGTAGTAGTAGTAAGTAGTTGTAAGCGCTCGCAAATTTCTTAGTTGCAAAGTCTCAAGTTAAAACCAGCAGCTTATCGGTCTAGTAGGCCTAATAGTCAGACTGTCAGACTACAACGCCGCTAACTTACGAGCGTACGGCATGGCCTTGCCGCCTATATTATTATTTAAGTATTGTATCTAAATATATATAATGCGTAAATAATAGTATTATCGGAAGTTTTAGATACAGCGCTGCTAGCTGACAAGCGCCTGGTCTACTAAGCAGAGTCTCTATATACAACGCCGCCAACGGAATACCATATAGAATACAAAGCGTAAAATAGTAGATCAATGCTGTGTTACGTATGATGAGTGTAGAGAGTCACATTTCACCTCAATCATCAGGGGTGGCAATGCAGATATTTTAATTCTTAATTGAGGATTGATTTGGGTGTCTATAGGACGAAGCATCTACTTGCCATCAGGTGGAGTGAGCGCTCGTTTGTCACCCTTATTGTATATAAAACTGAGGTACACTTAGCCTACTAAACTAAAGAGCGTTTAGTTTACTAGTCAAGGTATCTAGTTAAGGTGCCGCTAACTGAGGAGCACTTGGTAAACTAGTCAAAGTCTCCGCTACAATGCTCCTAATTGACAACCGTTTGGTCTGCTAGTCAGTGTGTTTGGCTACAACGCTGCTAACTGGCGACTGCTTGGTCACTAGTCAGTGTGTTTGCCTACAACGCTGCTAACTGACGAGCGCTTGGTCTACTAGTCAGTGTGTTTGACTACAACGCTGCTAACTGACGAGCGCTTGGTCTACTAGTCAGAGTGTTTGGCTACAACGCTGCTAACTGTCGACCGCTTGGTCTACTAGTCAGTGTGTTTGCCTACAGCGCTGCTAAATGACGAGCGCTTGGTCTACTAGTCATTGTGTTTGGCTACAACGCTACTAACTGTCGACCGCTTGGTCTACTAGTCAATGAATTTGCCTACAACGCTGCTAACTGACGAGCGCTTGGTCTACTAGTCATTGTGTTTGGCTGCAACGCTGCTAACTGTCTACCGCTTGGTCTACTAGTCAGTGTGTTTGCCCACAACACTGCTAACTGACGAGCGCTTGGTCTACTAATCCGAGTGTTACAGTAAACCATATTTTAAACAGTATAAAATACTGACATTACCTTGTTTATACATACTAGAAGTAGCAGTGTTTGTTAAATTGCATCCAAAACGTTTTAAACGCCTTGACCAAGTAGTTCCACGTAATAGACGCGACAATACCCTTTTGTGTCATCAATCCGCTAAGACAGCACTAATGCGCAAAAGTATATACTGCATGTCTCCAGTCATATATGATAAAATACCAAAAAGTTGGAAAGAATTGCCGATATCGATATTTAAAAAAGGATTCGTAGCTTCTTGACAGTCAAAGCATACTATAGCGTAACAAAATTCTTGACTGAAAAAAAATATTTTGAGATTAAGACTGTATAATGTAAAAAAATTTGAATTATGTTTGTTTTTGTGTTATTGTTGTATTTTGTTACAGCTGTTTTGGTGATTAGTTTATATTTCTTTATATTTTGCATGCCTACTGGTAAAATATGGCTGAACTCACTACCTATATTTCCATGTACTCATATTTGCAAAATTAAATATCTTTATCTTTATCACTAACTGACAAGCACCTGGGTCACTAGTTGTAATACCTGGCTACAACGTCGCTATACTAAGAAGCGCTTGGCCTGCTGGTCAAAGCACAGTAATATCTGACTACAGCGCTGCTAACTGAGGAGCGCTTGACCTACTAGTCAGAATATCTGGCTACAAGGCCGTTAGCCTAGAAGCGCTTGGCCTACTAGTCAGAATATCTAGCTACAACGCTGCTAGCTGACAAGTTCGCGGCCTAATAGTTGGAGGATCCGACTACAATGTTGCTAACTGATGAGCATATGTTCTAGCTGGTCATGGGTTTGAATACCAATTGCCACCGATATTTGTGCAAAAACAAAATATATTGGTTTTCAGATTTGCATTGTGAATTGTAAAATTTATTTTGTAGTTGATGGCTTTTAGTTAATCGCATTTTCATATGAAGTTAATTTTAAATCACTTTAGAATTATTAATAAAATATTGATGAGTGAAACGAACTTCTAAAACTTCTATCCATGGTAAATTAACTTCAGCCACACTACGATGTCGATATGTACTCTGCGACAATTTTAAGTTTCCGTAAAGTTTCTTTATAGAATGTGCTGTTCGTTAGTGAACGACGCTAGCGTATTTCTTGTCTAATTTTATATCACCCTTTCAAACTTCTCTCAATGCATGCAATTTTGGATGCAAATTCGAAATTCTGTGACTCATAGTCAAATGATCACCATTTGTTCTACAAGTTTGACTATAATGTAGGATATTCGTAATTTATACCTAAATCATAATAAAAAAAACATAAATGAAATTACAAGCCGGGTTTTTGATTATCAAAGCATAAAAAAGGTTTGGGAACAAAACTTTTTGTTTTCCAATTTTACACAAAAATTGTCCAACACATTCTTCTTTTATGTCTTAAATTTTTGGCTTAAAATTATTAAAACTTCAATAAGATAGAATGCAATTTTTACATTGAATTGAAATTTATTAATTTCACATTTTTAAGTGAAATTAATAAATCTACCTAATAAACTACCACATGAGATGTTGTAAATCTTCAACTTTTATTGTGAAATTTTTTCTGTAGGTACCTTATTTTCGAAAAACTTACTAAAAAGTGATTTTTCAATATTTGAACTACTTGCCCAAAAACCACTTTTACGGATTATCATGTGTTTCTACGCGGACTAAGTCGTGGTCTAGTATTAATAATTTAAATTAAGACATTAACTAAAGTCATTAAAAATAAGTATTTATTTCTATGAAGGATTTCAGTTAATAGGTATCTTTCGAATTATTCCTCATCATCACCATTACATCCCTTCACAAATCACTCCACTGCTGAACATAGGCCTCCACCAAAGTTCATTTTAAAAAGTTCATATTTAATTTATTTACCGTATTTGTATATTAATAAATATTTAATTTTAGGTTAACATCAGCAATACATGGGTTCTTCCGGAAGAGGGCTTTCCGGTATTTTACCGCTACTTCAGGGACCGTATTTCGTGGTATGAAGCCGATGCAGTCTGTCAGTTTCATCACGCCAATCTTGTGACGGGTTAGTATGTATAATAGGCATAGTATCTAGCATAGTATCTATAAGGCAAAGTAGGAGCATCATTAGCTCATTAATTTAAACACCCAGCAATGTATCAATTTGGCAATTCAATTCATGCATGTGCAATCATTGTGTCAATTTATGCCTATTTTTAGTTGTCGAGCAGAGAGAGAGAGAGAGAGAGAGAGAGATAGAGAGAGAGAGAGAGAGCGTAAACATACGATTTTTATAGAGATATAGAGATAGAACTTATCAAAAACTAATGATATCCCACCAATTGTAAATGTGAAAGGAGGCCAAGTTTAATATAAAATTTGTTAGTTTATATCAAATTTGGCTCCTCTTTTCACATTTATCTTTTTCGTGGGATATTTATTATTTAACAGTATACTAATAGAATCTATCATAATGTAACCCATCACGTGGGTACCGTTACAGTTACAGTTAACTATGGGTATTACCCATATATGTTTATTTTTCAATAACCGGCCTGATTTGCAGAGAAGGTTTAGAATAAGTAGTATGGGTAAATGTTGAAGAAAAATTATTTTATCCTTTAAATTCAAAATGCTTGGTAATGCATTATTTTAACTGATTTACGCACGCACACATTAGTAATCATCAATCAAATCACATTCAATATGGGACAATTTCAGATAAAAGTAGAAGCCTTACTTATTCGTATTTTCAAAATAACGATATATCGTACATGTTTAAACCTAAGTTCAAAATTTGGCTACTCTTTGAATAATAACCCTGGATTTTACGAGATGACTGCATAATTATTATACTAAATAGTGGACATCACAAAGGAATAATAGTCAAAGTGATAGTAGTTTCCTTACATGTCAAATACTGTAATCGCCAATTCGCCAGATAAGTATGGTCTTTGTAAATATTTTTAGGTAAGGGAGCCTACTTAAACATAAATGAGACTTCGGTTTAAGAAGAAAACCGCTGTTAGCCCGTTTATTAGGCATAACGCCAAGCTGACACTGCGTAATCTGACTGTTTATGTATTTGTAAATATAGTTACCACTTTTTTTAAGTAAGTATGACACATTTGTACACAATGCACCTGACGATGAGTGGATGCTGTAACCCTATCCTCGATTAAAAATCAAATTGTAGACGCGTTGCCACCTCTGAAGTCTAAAGTGGAATGTTTCATTGCTAGTAAAAAGAATCTCCTGTACGCTTCACTCGCCATACGAAAAACACAACAGCGTTATGCTACTACCTGACGCTGGTATTTTGTGTGAACGTGCACTTTCACCAGTTGAGCCCAACCAATCATACTGCACTATGTGACTCTGTGTTTGGTGGGCTGTGTGTTTGTTTGTTGCCCTTATATAAAAAACCGCATCCGTAATACGCTGCAGCGTGGCTCTACCACGTTGTTTACTAATCCACCACATGTTACTATAATAAAATAAACTAATAACTAAACATTTTGCTGACCCATCATCATCGTTTCGGCCTACATATGTCTTACAAATTTTGAAGAGGTTTTTGGCTATCTGGGGCCCATTTGGGGCAAACTCTAAATCGTCCAGTGCCTGGTGCGGATAATATTAATGCCAAATCTTTTGGGCTTCATCGCGACAGTTGCACGCAGTGAGGCACTAGAGAGAGGCTTAATGATTATGACTGACCCGACGGTTCTGAACCACATATATGCAAAAACACTATTTTCTGTTCTCTCTTTTCTTTTCTTTTTCTTTAGTATATCGCGTTGAGAACTTTTGAAAAAATCTAATAATTTGACGACATTGTCAGACTATCGCCGATTATAACTCCTTTACAAAGGCCCCGAACGCTAGTCCCTCGAGACATAGGAACATCGTATTATAAACTGCGAAATGGACATAGAAAGATCTCTGCAGGGGCGTACTGATTGAGACTTTGACATATTCTAGGCGTGGTTAACTCTTCTGGCTGGGTCTGTAGGGGTTAAAATAGAGGCAACTATATATCGGGATGCCATGTCAGACATTTATAACGCAACATGTTTTGGATTAAACCTCAACGTTCAAGGTGTTAGATGTTTCAAGTATGCAATAAATTAGCAGTTAAATGGCAATTAATCGTTTCTGTAGTGCCGGCGGGGAACGAACTCGGGTTGCTCGCTTAATACGAAAATTGAGATGAGCGCTCAGCTACGGCTCTCGGTAGCGAAATTTATATTAGGGCCTTTTAAAGTGACGCCGTAGGCATTCAGTGCATCCCAAACTATCGCGAAGAAATAATACTTTATACGCTAATATGCCGGTCGCTGCATGTATAAAAATAACGTTTATTTATTTTATTTGGAAGACCAACAGCTATCATAATTTGGATAGATAGTATTAATAACAACAGTAAGCCAATTAAAGACCCTCACTAATAGATCCAAAGGTGAATTTACAACAGTGTTAAATACGATTTAACACTCGAAAGTATCCAATACAACATATTTATGCCAAATGAGAGCTAAACTTGTATTATACATATAAAAGACAATCAACTCATACTTAGGACAGTCAATAACACTACAAGCTATTTTAAGAGAAAAATAAACACAAATACAAAAGTAAATCATAGTTGTGTAGCAACGCATCAATATCTCACTTAGAGCTACCAAAAAATGCATTATTAAGTATGCGCCTAGCTGACGCAGCACTAGTGTTAAACAAATCGAAGTTAAACTCATTGGCTAGCTTATTGAAATTATTGCTCGCTCGCCATATAAATGTACGTTCGTTTTAATTTTGATTTGGAAAAAGAACATTTATTTATTTATGAAAGTAATCAGAATTAGATCCCCAAGGGCACTTGGTAATCCATTTCAGTAAATTGTTTTATTTTATTATCATTTGTATGGTTCCATAGTTAAACAACAAGGAACCGTTATAGTTTCGACATGTCCGTTCGTCCCTCCGTCCACGGCTGCTGTAATTTGGTATAGATACTCGTATTATTCACGCCTACAAAATTGTGAAATGAAATCTTAAAAAATATTTTTATTTTGGGTATCTTCGATACAGCTGATTTTTTTTACCCGTCTATTCCATCATGTGTGTGTCAAAGGAAAACTATCACATCTAAGTAGGCTTGATAAATAAACGTGTAAAATTCGACCAACTTATAAAATGCATTTTCACTAGTAAAAGTTTTCGTTCCAATTTAATAGAATATTACGAGTACTTAGAACTAGCTGCATTATAACTTTGTAATGTCATTGTAAACTATAAGAAAAAGACTAATGGATCACTATTATGAGGGGAGGTCAAAAAGCTCGCGGTATGACAGGGAAGGATAATGAAATGAAACATTAAACTATTTTTCATTTTCAATGTATTCTCTCTTAACTCTAATACATTTATTAGATCTGTCAAATAACATATTAATACCGTCTAAAAAAATTGTCTTGGGTGTCAAAATAGGCCGAAATTGCCGATTTCATTTCATCATTGTCGTCAAATTTTTTCTCACGCAGTTCTTTCTCCATTTTTGGAAACAAATAATAGTCAATGGGGGACAGGTTTAGGCTGCAGGGTGGGTGGCGCAGTTCTTCAAAAGCGCACCGGTGAATGGCAGCCGTAGCAGCATGGCTTGTGTGCACGGGCGCATTGTCGTGCAAAAAGAGCACGCCTTTTGTAAGCTTTCCTCGCCTTTTTTTAAATACATAACTTCTTTTAATTGATCTAGTAAAGAACGTAGTATTCTCCCGTTATGGAAACACCACGTTTCTTAAAATTAATCCAAAGGATACCTTCTGTATCCCAAAAGATCGTCGCCATGACCTTTCCGGCCGATTGAGACACCTTATACTTCTTAGGAGGGGGTGTGCCTTTTTTATGCCACTGCATCGACTCTTGCTTTGACTCAGGTTCTTAATGGTTAACTTAAGTTTTACCGTCAGTTACAATTTGGGCCATAACTTCCTCCCTTTGCTCTCCAAAGCGGTCCAAAAATTCGCAACAACTTTCGACGCGCTCGTGTTTTTGATGCGAAGAAAGCATTTTCGGAACCCATCTTGCACAGATTATAGTCAAGCCGAAGTCTTGATGTATGTAGGGTGTTTAAAATGGTTGTTTCTGGTACTGCAACTAATGCTGCAAGCTGTTTTTCCTTTTTCCGGGTATCTTCCGATACAGGTTTTTCAACTTTTTTCTGACGTGGTAGCCTCAATCGGCCGTCCAGGTCGGGGGTCGTCTTCAATGGAGTCCCTCCCTTGTTTGAAAAGGGCGTGCGATTTATAAAGCATAGTTTCGAAGAGCGGAATTCTCATAAACAGCTGACATCTCTTGGAAATGGTTTGCGGTGTCTTTCCTTATTTGGTGAGAAAATTAATGACGGCGCGATATACAATTTTCTACATAGTGTCTAGTTTCTTCCCGATGGACTTGTTTACTTGTTGATAACTCAAAAGCTAACGACCCAATTAGGATAAAACTTGGTATATAAACTAACAATGAGTCACTTAATTAGCGCCTACCTGGATGAGTAAACTCACTCTCGCCAACCCCGCTATTCCGTGAACTTTTTGCCCTCCCATCGTATCACTTTACATTTTTTGCGAGGTAAGCATAGAGGATCAATCGCCAAGAGACCGATCCTGACATATCATTTTCGCTTATTTTAAGTTGGTAGTTATTGTAGGCTATTGTAGGTTGTGGTTCTATTGTAGTTATTCTACGGTTTCATTTGTGGTACTCTTAGTTTACGCGGGCGACCCTCAGGATAGTTTCAGTGGTGGTTTACTGGAAGGTTCCTTACGGTCATGTATATCTTAGGTGTGTAGGTACTGACGGGAACTATCAAAATTTATATAGAATTATTGTATGGACTTAGCATGTGAACTATTTGCTATAGATTGTATTATTTTGAAAATCGATAAGTTTTCTTAATCTTTTTTGAATACCACACCTTACAAGTCTGCTTGGAAAATAAGTCCTTCAGTTTTCATCGTCCTATTTAGGCCGGTTTTAGTCGTTATAGCGTTCAAAATGCGTCTTCACTTAATATTCAAATAGTATCAAGAAGGCCCCTTCTAAATTCACGTACAGTGACGAGTAACTACAAAACCTCTATGTTGTGCTTGGCGGACCTTGGTCGGTTTTTAAATTTTAATTTCCACAAAACCAGCAAATTGATCAGAAAAAAACTTTGCTTTTGATTTTATTGTATCCAACAAAATACAGGAAAAGTTTGCATTGTTACATACATACTTATCTTAGATATATTTATTACAATAAATATCTCTATCTTTAATTAATATTTATTATAGGTAGTACATTATACTTTTCTGGTATTTTTCAGTCTTTTCTTTAATAGTACAGTGCTTATGTCTTTGGACGTATCTCTTATAAAATCTATTCTATTAAATATTAGCGGAGTTAAATATTGCCTAGTTCTCTTACCATAACAGTTTCTCATGCTTAAAATAAACTTATTTTTACTGTAACAACGTAATACTTACCCTATTTATGACAAATAAAGAAATTTGGAATGAAATAAATCGTGATTCTCATAGAAATTTTGTCTAGACTACAGCTTTGAAGTCAAAGTAATCTTTAGTTCAAAAAAGAAGTCAGATAAATATTGAAATTTATTTTAAAAAGGTGGTATTGAAGCTTTAGCTAATAATAATAGGTATTATATTATAAGATAGGGAAGAATACTTAAGTTAATATACTTGTAGAATTTTCGATGGAATCAATGTTGTCGATTTGTCACGTCGTTGTCGACGAGAGCTCTTTCATTATTGTTAACGTCGTACTTGATCGTCCGCTCGCTAAATAATACACCTTTATGTTTTATGACCCTTTGAAGCGAATGAGTTTTCATTTATCTAAATTAAGAAGCTCAAGCTTATGACATCTTTATATTTTTATGTTATATATTTACTTCTTGCATATATTACTAAATTCGAATTAACTTTTGTGGCATTATTAATTTATGAAATACTGGTTAGTACTCTTATTCCTAGCTTTTCAAAAATTTTGTTAGTTCTTTATTAGTAGTTTCCTGCAGGTGTCATTAGGCAGTAGAAGCCCCTGACTATCAGGTGGACTGGAAGTTAGTTTGTCACTTAAATTAGTAAAAAGTCGATGCTAATTTATTTTAATTTATTTAAAACGTTACCTACGTTACAATTGGATTTTTTCGTGTATCGTAGAGGCAATTTACAAACATAAATTGCACAAGGACAAACATCCAGGCACGGAACAATTATTTGTAGGCCATACAATTATACTTGTTCCGTGCGGGATTCGGACCCGCAGCCCCCAGCGCAGCCACACATTGCTAAGCCACTGCACCACGGAGCCGAAGAAGTTTCAAGTCATGAGACCAACAAATGTAAAATATGTAAATTCTGATATGGGTATAGGAAATCGAAATATTATGATATGTATTTAGTCGTATATGCTGTTTTGTTACAGAGATTTATCATTCTTTATAGCCTAGCTAAGGTATGATTTGTCTATAAGAAATATTTTTAAGGACGATTTCGTTGCTCCCTTAAACTTTCTAACAACCTATGAACTTACGATTGACATTTTTGTCAATCGTAAGTTCATAGGTTGTTAGTAAATCAATTGGTTATACTCGTATAAACGAATTTCATGTATTATCTGATTAGAAAAATACTTATAAAACAAACTCAAAGTCGTAATCATAACGAAACATATTTTTTACAAACTTCGCTAGCCAGCTTTGGCATGTTCTTTAACTAACTTTATAGATTGCTTACTTGACTACTTAACGAAGTTTTGCGTCGATCCGTTACTGTCAGAAGTTTGAAATAGAATAAAACTTATTGATGTGTTAAATAATACGCTATGATTATCTTATTATAACAAATTAAAGTTACATGTATTTATTAATTAATGTATTGAAAACATTAAGAGATATTTAAGGGCTAATTTTATTTCTGTTTAGTAACGGCGTACTTGTAAGAGAATCATCATCATCACCGTCATATTTCGTCCCGTGTTTGTCTTGAAAGGCGATTAAGGAAAGGACCATAAAAACATCAAGACTTTTGATGGATGATGAAATTAGCTATGAATAATGTAAAAAATCTTAATGTTTATAAGAAGAATGGACGTAAGAGAACTGATTACGAAAAATCTTTATTTACATATATTTGCTTATTCCGCGATATTTGGTGTTGTTTTTCAGGTAAACCTAAGAGCGGACACGATATTTTTGACAATAATATGTAAATGAATATAGAGCGATCATTTATAATGCAATTAGGATAAATTGGTTTCATTTAGCTAATGTATTGAATTGGCTCGTAAATGAAAATGCGAGGTGTGGCATTGACGTCAGTGTGTTAGAAACTTAGGGGACTACTAAACACAAAGGTGTGCCAGATATTGATTTGCTTTCGTGTTTTATCACTGAAAGAATACGTGGCTTATGAGCTTTGGCAAATATAAATGTCATTTGTGAATTATTTAAAAGATCCAGTTAGTCGTCTCTTTCCTGAACAATGTTATATCATTATCAGAGGAATCATTCCTGGACATGGCTCTCTCATAATAAAGATGATTTGCAGGCAGCAGCGTGCTGGCCACCGCTCTTGGTATTTTCGGGTAATAGGGATGAAACATACTAAGTAAAATTACTTGTTTAAAATTTTGGTATAGAAAAGGAAGAACTTCCTTTTTGGTTTATTGTCTCGGAGATAGTCCGAGTATAATCCTGTCTATAGCTCACTGAGCAACTTTAAGCTTCCTTTTAACTTTTAAGAGTTTTTGGAATATATATATATATATATATATATATATATATATATATATATATATATATATATATATATATATATATATAGTAAAAGTAAAAGTAAAGTTACAGCCTATATACGTCCCACTGCTGGAAACAGGCCTCCCCCTCATTTCTGAGAGGGTTTTAGGCCAAGGAAGTGTCCGCCGCGCTGCCCTAATGCGTGTTGGCGAACTTCACATGTCTTCAAAATAATTTTTTTTCTTATTCCTCAGACATGCAGGTTTCCTCACGATGTTTCCTTCACTGCCGAGCACGTGGTAAATCAGCACTTAAAATTGCAATTAACAATTTCATTGGTGCCGGCGGGGATCGAACCCGGGTTACAATCGCGTTCTGTTATATTTACAGCGAGCGTTAACCATCTGAGCGGAGGTTAACGTGTTTTTATATAATTATATAATTATTAATCTAGATTTTATCTATGCTGTAACACACACCATTACGAATTATGATTAATAAGTGTAGTGTAAAGTATATAAAGAAAATAGATATTTATTTTAGTCCGTATTTGTTTTTCTATAGATAAATATATATTCATCTATAGAAAAACAAAATACTGACAAAAAATTTACTGGAGTCGATATACTACGAAATAATTTCATCTGAGTAATGTCAAGGAAGTATGGCACAGATTGTAGGGCACCTTCTTGTTTCGGATTGTTGTGCTCATTTTTGCTAAAGTAGAAGGACATCCAGTTTTGGGTTCTAGTTTGATGGTTGGAGGCATGTTACCAGTGTAAGTTTTTCATGCCACTCATTACTATGTGGATTGTTAGCTAGATTGTCACTCTATGTGCTTAAGAAATATGTTAAAGCCCAGCATAAGGTCTTCATATAATACTGTGATAAATTATATTAAATTAGTTTCTTTTTTCCAGTTGATACCACAGCTCAATACGATGCTGTACGAGCATATCTCAAAGAACTAGACATTTCTAGTGCGGTGTGGGTTGGACTAATAAGAAGCAATCCAGAGGGCGAATTTACATGGACGTAAGTTGTTGTAAATGCCTTTATGTTCTTATCTATATGAATGCAACTAAAATATACAAGGCCAATAAATGTGTCCCTTACGTAGCTCGGTCTGACGTACTATGTAAAAATTATGAAGTTTTTTTATTCTAAAGTTGGTTTTTTCTTATAAAATGTAAAATGCTTAAGAAATAGATTATAATCATAAAAAATTCATCATAAAAGTAATAAATCTTCTAACAGTGACTATCGTGGATTAAGTAGTGACGGATATTGGAGCTCTGCGCCTGATCCTCGCATTGCACCTTTATGCGCTGCTGCAGATCCAGGCGCAGATTATAGATGGGAGGCCCGCACCTGCGGTGGACCAACCGTTGCTTCCTTCATATGCGAATTGCCAGGTATTAGCATTACATAATTTACTTCTATTTTATGCTTTTTAATGCCTAATTTTAAATAATTAACAAATTATGCTTCAGTTTACTAGTTTTATATGTTAGAATTTTAACTATATAAATATATTTTAATTAACACAATAAATAAAGCTTACTCATGCATCTTGTTTGGAGGTCCATATCTCGCCTGACCTTATAGTCATAGCGATTTATCGATCCCCCTCAACCACAAACGCTGATGAATTTATCCATTCCTTAAATAATCACCTTACTACCATTGAATCAACTAAAAATGTAATTATCACAGGTGACATTAATATTAATCTGATACTAAATCAAGGCGAGCAATCACATGAACGCACAAATAGGCTAAATTATCTCAATATGCTGGCAATGCATGGCCTCCTCTCTGGTCACTTCCTACCCACGAGAGGCAAAAATTGTCTAGACCATTTCAATATAAAACTCGAACCTGCCAATAAAACTGCAGTCATTGCAATTATTCATACAACTATCACAGATCACTTCATGACTTTTCTAAAAATTACAAACCATACAAACATAACAAAACCTACTAAAATAAAATCAGTTTTTAACGTTGAGAAAGGACTCGACCACTTAAAAGATAGCAACCTGACCAACCTGTTGCAACTAACAAACCCTAACACACTAACTAATAAATTAATCGAAATTCTTCAAAACTGTATCGCTCTTAGTACTATCACTATTGTAATCTCGTCAAAAAATAGAACCCTGAAACCGTGGATGACTATTGGTTTATTGCGCTGTATTCACAACCGAAACACCATGCAACGGAGACTGAGACTTGACCCTTTCAATGAGGTACTAAAAGTTACCTACAAAAAGTACCGCAATTACTGCAACTGCATCATCAAAAAACAAAAACGAAAATATGACAGAGACGAACTTGCCAAAGCACATAAAAATCCTAAAAAAACGTGGGAGATCATTAACAACATTACACAGCGAAAACCTAAAAAAACAAATAACTTGGAACTCCTAGAGCTATCTAATACTCCCCAGAACTCTACTAACAAAGTGAATAACTTTTTCTCTAACATAGGAAAGGTTCTTGCGGACAATATCTCACCACCTCCGTCTTCTACAGTAACTAATAACGATCCTAGCTCATCTTTATCTGCCAGTACATCGGCCTCTTCTTTTGCCCTACTCGACACAGACTTTTGTGAAGTTCATGATACACTAATGAGCTTAAAACCAGATAGTGCTCCAGGTTGGGACCACATTCCAGTTAAATTCCTTAAAGCTGCACACGAACAAATTGTGCCAATCCAAACTTATTTAACAAACCTTTGCTTTGAGCAGGGACTTTTCCCGGATGCTTTAAAAGTAGCCCTAATAACGCCTGTGTATAAGTGTGGAGACAGGTCAAACCCGTCAAACTATAGGCCAATTCCAGTTCTGCCATCCATCTCAAAAATCCTAGAAAGACTCTTAAATTCACGTTTAACTAAATACCTTTCTAAGTATAACATTCTGTCACCTTCTCAGTTTGGGTTTAGGCAGGGAAGGTCCACTGAGGATGCGGTCCTGTCTTTAACATCTACTATAGTTGACAAAGTGGATAAAGGTAGCAAATGTCTGGCAGTTTTCCTCGACCTCAAAAAGGCCTTTGACACAGTATCTGTCCCCATACTTCTAGACAGGCTTGAAAACATAGGCATAAGGGGAACCCCTCTCGATCTGTTCAAATCCTACCTAAGCAGTCGCAAACAAACAGTCAAAATAGGGAAGTTTACTAGCTCAAAAGAAACAATTTCATACGGTGTCGGGCAGGGAAGTGTCCTTGGTCCGACATTGTTTCTTATATATATTAATAACCTATGCAATATGACTATTGACAGCGGTCACATTTTCTCATACGCGGATGATACTGCCATAGTCTTCGCTGATAACACTTGGACAAAAGTTAAAAGGTCAGCCGAAATCGGCCTGTCTAAGATTGCATTTTGGCTTAAGCGTAACCTCCTCACACTAAATGCCTCCAAGTCCAATTACGTATGCTTCACCAAGTATACACACAATCAACCACCACTCGAATTCCAAATAAAGATCCACTCCTGTGCTAACCCCCCAATTCCTGACTGCTCTTGTACAAAAATTGACAGGTTACAGTATACTAAGTACCTTGGTATCATGATTGACCAACGCCTGTCCTGGCATATGCATACTGAACTGATCATGAATAGGATTAGGAAATTAATATGGACTTTTAAAACATTGCGACACGTTGCCTCAAAGAATCTTTTGCAGAAAGTCTACGTATCATTAGCCCAATCTATCCTTACATACTGTCTGCCATGCTGGGGTGGTACAACAAAAATTAAGTTTTTAGAACTTGAGAGGGCGCAGCGATCTCTGCTTAAAGTTATGTTTTTAAACCCTACAGATTTTCAACCCAAAGCCTTTACCTAACCTCTAACCTACTGTCTGTAAGAAAACTTTACCTACTCCACCTTATTCTGAGTAAACATAAATCCCTCCCGTTTGACCCCAAAAAGCCGATTATGAGTAGCAGAAGAAGCTACTTGGTCGCTCCAACTGTCCCAGTTAGATCTGTTTTTGCCAAGCGGCAGTATGAAAGGCAATCTTCCCACTTATACAACCTATTGAATAAAGAGCTAAACATCTATCCTCTAAAACTCCGTGACTGTAAACTAGCTGTGACTAATTGGCTTAAGACTAAAACCTACGATGACATTGAGGCTATGGTATCATCGTTACCATAATCTGTTTATTAATCAAACTTACATCACACAAGTGCGCTCCTTTATCCATTTTGTATTTGTACTTTCTTTTCTTTTATTTTGTTTCCAATTATATACACTGTATAATGTTAAGTGGAAGAGCGGAGTCACCTAACACAAGCATCTCTTTGCTTAAAAGGTGATCTCCAAACCCTGTATCTTAAAGCTTTATGTAATTGAAATAAACATTTTTTTTTATTTTTTTTTATAACAGTACCACAATGGGCACTTGGCAACGAGGGATGTATGGTTCGAGCCCTGCCGGCGTTGACCATTTTGTACTTGCCTGAAAGTGCTGCTGTTCAGCTTACAGCAGATTGCGGTCTAGCAGGCGTTAAACGCATTCAGTGCATTGGAAATATGGTATAATTTATATATGAGATATAAAAATTATCTTTTAAAATTGCTATTTATTATTTTGATTGTCTTCTAAAATGACTTTTGCTGTTTCTTGTTACAGAAACGTGAAGATCTTCTTAAAGACCTTTCTTGCACTGAAGAAGTTGAATTGTCAAGTCCATCAAATAATTTGTCAATCAATAATAATAATAATATCACTACTGACATAACCGTTATAGGTGATAGTCACGAAACTACAAGCATCATCCCAGAAGAAAAACAAATTATTAATAATGAAGATGATGATAATCAATTGGCTAACATGATATCAACACCTTCTCACTTAGATCAAATTACACTCAAATCTGTACAAATTAAAATGCCGTCTACAACGCACCAAATTTTGGGCGATAATAACAATTTATTAATGCGTAAAGATATTAATCTCGATGTAATGGAAAATAACAACCTTCAGAGTAATGATATCCCAAACTTAGTCAATAACAATAACTTTTTGACCAACTATAGAATAGAAAAAATGGAAGACGAAGAAAATATGCAGCATAAGAAGCTTCACGACGAACTTGCAAGGTTAGGTAATTTTGAAACTATATTCACTCAACCCACTGATCACTTTGTTCCACCGCTAGTTATTGCAAAAGCAAAGCTTAGTGATGATATGAATGTACTGTCTTTTGAAGAAAAACACGCTAAACTTTTAAACACACACAATTCTTTAAAAAATTCAAATGAACAGAATGGCATTTTAAGCGTAAAAAATAAGCTTTTAATAACTACTGAACAGCCAAATTTGGCAAGCACCTTCAATTCAAGTGGATTAAGTACAGAAAAAGCAGAAATACGAGGAAATGAATTAAAAAAAGAAAATGCAAAAAATGCATTACCAAAAAAATATATTAATAAAGATTTTGATTCCAATATTACAAGTATATCAAAGGAAATAACGAAAAAAGAAAAAGTCAAGATAAATAAAAATATTGATAACGTTTTAAATAAGAGTAATCAATCATTTGTTTACACGTATACTAATTTGAATGAAACATCAAAATTAGGTACCACAACTGAAAATTATTTTGATGTAATTCAGAATGACGATGTCATTGATTTAACAGTTACTTTACGGGATGTGAATAGACACAACGATTCTTATTCAACAATACCAAGTAAAAACGATGAGATTGATATGAAACCATTAAATAATATAACAGAATCAGAATCATCGAATATCGACGTGAATGTCAAAAACAACTCTCAGTTGACCTCCCAAAATTCTACATTTAGTAAATATGTCAATATTGACGAGGTCGTCTTACAAAATAAAATAATAAATAGTAGTATGCGAAACGAGAGTAGCAATTTTAGTCCCCAGTTAGATTTTGATGTTGCAACAAAAACACCTATTTTTAAAGACGACTTTGTTACTTCTACAGTTTTAAATAACCCGATAAATGCAGATGCATACATTGAAATTGAGAAAAACAACGTTACAGATAACACATATGTTGATATCTCCACTGCAACTACACAGAGCGACATTAATTCTATTACTATAGTTGATATGAGATTTACTACTTTAAATTATTCACTATCTGTCCCTATTAGTACCGCGACTAAAGCAGATTCTACGAAAGCAAGTGAAAGTACAGGAATGAATACGGAATCCTCACCTTATGTTTATATTTTAAACAAGTCTGATATTATTAGTAAAATGTACCCAGAATCACGTGCAACTTATGTTCCAATTGCAAATGATATTTTTAATATCACAGAAGGTATCGAAGATACAGTAAACAATTCAAGTAATTTGGAAACTATTGATGATTTTCAATCGCCGTTACTATCTGGTGCAAGTGAACCTTTGCAACGGCCCAATAGATCTAGAAGACCGAAACAAACACTAAACAGAATTAATAAATTTAATCCATTTCGTATATTAGGATAAGTGATTCAGAACCTTTATAAAATTTAACTGCCAACAAAAAAGAACCGTATTAATGACTGAATAATTCCACTGCACTTTAATATTCATTATATTATTAGTCACAATCACACATCACATACATCACAATCACAAATACGTCATTGAAAGTAGAAGCACATGAATGATCTTGGATTCATTTAATATTTTTCCTTCCTTATTAACTGGCTCCAAGAATTAAGGTTATAAATTGGATTCTATTATGTAACGTTCTGTATAAAAAATTTGTTTCGAAACAATTTGGGAATCAATTTTTAAAATTTTTAAATTTACTAAAATGTTATAGCAATTGGAATAAACTGAAACTTGAGTAATAATTACTTCAATTTATAATTTTTATTTTATGAACATATTTATTTAACAATTTTAAAATTTTATCCCATTTATGGCGATAACAAATTCATAATTGTTATTTAAATAGGTTATACATGTTTTCATTTAAAAGACATTGGGGTAGATAATAATACTCTTTGGTAAGTAAAATTTTTCATAAATATTAAAATATGTCATAATTTAGTATAGTGATTTGAGGTAAGATATTATAGTGAATCTCGCAAACCATATCACATTAGTATAAGGTATGATATTTAAAAATATATTTTTATTCAGTTTATTAATTTTTAAGTCTAAATTTGATCAAAAACATTATAATAAATATTATTTTCGCCTAATTTGTTTATTTTTAAATATTTTATAAGCTTAAATGGATAATTCTTTCTTATTTGTATCATTTAAGAATGTTATTGTAAGAATTTTGTATTAAAAAATAAATTTAAAAAGATTTTTATTTCTCTTTTTATAAGAAAATTCAAATAATTGTTTATCCAATGTCATACACTAAATTGACTAAAATGCTAATGCTAAAATGTAAACGTAAAATGTTATAAATTTATAGTTTAATTCACGCTTACTAGCGTAAAAAAGTAGCTTATAAATATTATATGAATACGACAGATAATAATTTAGATACTTTTTAATTACTATAATATACTAATTGCATTCAGATGGAGATAGTAAACTTGAAATTTTGTTTTTGAATCCACTTTTAGTAATATTAAAATAATCAATTTAGCTAATTTATTGCATTATAATATGTCGCTACAAAAAGCGTTAGAAAACTATTTTTCTCATACTTTTTCGGATATAAGGGTACGTAAAACATCAAGTTTCTGGTATGACTGGTACGACTCATTGGGATATTAAATTTAATGTAAGTCAATAAATGAAGACAGTCGATTGCTTCGTGTAATATATAGTACAGAAGTCCGATATGCAGCAGTTTACGTCTCTTTATAAACATTAACAGACCGTAATATTTGCAATCGTTTCGATATGAAGAGCCAAAAAGTCTGAATTTAAAGTATAAATGGGTAACGATTTTTTTGAATCCGTTCGATATTATGAACATGTTTAGCATACAATGGTGCCCGTATACTTCCTTAATCTACTGTTGGTTGTGGTTGACCTATTCAAAAATGTGTCAACTGGTATGCATAACTTGAATGATTTGCCTATTTAAAAAAGCTGAAGTGAGGAAGGCGGTTAGCGAGCGATGAACCAATAGTCTCGCAATGGTGATGGCACTCCCAATCGCCAGCCACTACAGAATTAGTGGCTGGTGATGAAGAGTGAGTGATCCTACTCCCTCTTCATAATATATATTATTCATAGTAAGACAGATTTATTGATTAAAACTACTTTTTACGGATTTTATCGCGTTTTATTTATATTAATTTTAATACCCGACGTTTCGGGTGCTTTCCAGCACCCATGGTCACGGGGGACTATTTTTTTCTATATTCATTGTTCTTTAATCTTAATATAAAGTTTCAAAATAAATCTGTCTTACATAATGATTTCTTATATTTACGCGAACACTATACATTGATTAAAACTACTTTTACGGATTTTATCGCGTTTTATTTATATTAATTTTAATACCCGACGTTTAGAACCTAAGCAATGGCCTAAATGAAAATTTACCCCTAGAAAAGTGATGAGTCACTGTTTGATGAACCAGCGAAAGTGTGATTCAACACAGTTTCTTTCGAAACAATATGAATATCACTGCAGATGTGCACTGTGAAGATCTGTCGATTGACCTCTCGGTCGAAGTTGGACTTACCCAGTCGGACTATTTGTCCCAGGTAAACGTACTCGACAACAACTTCGAGCATAGTGCTCCCAACTACTACCGGCATAGGTGTGACATGGACATTAAACATGATCTTTGTTTTGTCCATGTTCATCTTAAGACCTATCCGTTGGGAGACACCATTAAGGTCATTGAGCATAGTGCTAACGTCCTCCAGCTATTCTGCCATAAGGACTATATCGTCGGCAAACCGAAGGTGAGTTATGTACTCGCCATTGATGTTAATACCGTATCCTTTCCAGTCCAGTAGCTTGAAAATGTCTTACAACGCAGCGGTGAAGAGTTTCGGGGATATAACGCCACCTTGTCTTGAAGAACTGAACACAATGATGGAAAAGCACGCACGTCTACAACCATCTTTGGTCAATCGCTGGTCTCCGCTGCTCATACTGCATAACAGACGGTCTCCAAATTACAAGAGCTGGGGTTTGAAGCTCTCCGTCATTTGTCGTACTAACAAGTCCTTGCGCCTACAGAATTCTTTTTTTTTTCAAAAATTGTAAAACTTTTTGGCGTGAAGAATTTATTGCCTCCCATCCAGCTGATTTCTTCAAGAAGACCATCAATTAATTACCACTGCGTTAGCAAAGATGCATTTATTGTATGGGTGATTACTTTGATCAATAGAAATAGAAATAGAAATATACAGAAAAAGATATAACATTAACTTATTACATAAAAAACGGCCATTTAATAGGTAAATACATTAGGTACTTTAACATATTATTATTTTCAATACGATTCCACGCAGTAACAAAACGGAAGGGTTATTTCAGCACCGATTTTATTAGTTGTGATATCGAATATACAGAAACGTTACAAAAATAATCTACTGCAATAAGTTCTTTACCTCAAAAATATCATAAAATATCATATAAAAAATTAATCTAGTGATTAAAACAAAAAAAAAATGATTTCTAAAAAAACAACAACATAATAAACAATTGTTAGATGCACATTCTTTATATCACTACTTTTGAAATTACACCGCACAATTTGAAATTTTCTTCACACTTTTTTTTTGTTGAAAAACGTCACATTCTTTTTTCTTTATTTGTCATAAAAATTTAAACTTACAATACTATTAAATAAAAACTCTTTCGACTTGTGGCGCCAACTGTTGTTCATTATAAAAACTAAATTTAATCGTCTAAACATTCCGGCGCCGCTATATTAGACTAATTTAAATCTGTGGGAAGAGGACAGATTTTTGTGATAGGTCTTTTGAAAATATTATTCTTAAATTGCAATGTAACAATTCTAGTTAAACCATCTTTCCCTAGATGCTTATCTAAAATACGACCTAATAGCCATTTTCCTGAAGGAAGCACATCCTTACCAATTTCTGGTTCCTCATTTCGATTTTACCATTTGTAACGATGCTGTAGAGTTGTAAGGTACTCTGAACTCCAACGAGTCCACAAATTTTGTAACATCCGTTGAAGTAGTTGCTATCGACTTAGATAAGATAATTTAACAGTTTCAAGGTTTTCCTCAGGGATCGTGATAGGTGCTTTGCCAATCAAAAAATGTCCGGGTGTAATAGGAGAAGCGTCATCAGCTGAAGTACTTACAGGAGTTAATGGTCGTGAATTAACACAAGATTCTACTTGAGCCAAAAAAGTGGCATACTCTTCAAAAGTTAAAAGTGTCTGTCCAATAACACGTTTTAAGTGACCTTTAACGGACTTTACACCAGCTTACTATTATCCGCTAAAGTGTGAGAACCTGGTTGGATAAAGTGCCAGTTCGTGTTGTCATTAGCTAAAAGCTGATCGATTTCTCCTACAACAGTAGACTTTCTATTTTTAAACATAGAATCGAGTTCTTTAGAGGTACCAATAAAGTTTGTTGCACAGTCACTCCACAAATCACTGCAATGTCCACGACGGGTAATAAATCATCGAAAAGCTGCGATAAAGGCAGCAGAGGATAAGTCACTCACTAATTCGAGGTGGATAGATTTTGTGACTGTCCAAACAAACAGACATATATAAGCTTTACAAGTTTTTTATACTATATACCTTACAAAAGCCAAAACCCGACCCTAAATACGATGATCCCAGAGCCACGCTAACCCGCCACTGTACCGACGAGCTGCCAGACATCTGCCTTGGGGAGATTGAGCTGGCCCTTGGTCAACTTAAAAATGAAAAAGCCCCTGGAGAAGATGGAGTTACAACAGAGCTCTTAAAAGCTGGGAGTCAACCCTTGCTAAAAGAGCTCTGTCGAGTTTTTAACTGCATCTTACGAGATGGGAGAACTCCAAAGGCGTGGAGCAAAATCATTACAGTGTTGTTTCACAGGAAAGGTGACAAGACTATGCTAAAAAATTATCGACCCATCTCGCTTCTGAGCCACGTCTATAAGTTGTTTTCGAGGGTCATCACAAATCGACTCGCGCAAATACTCAACGACTTTCAGCCTGGGGAACAGGCTGGGTTTCGAGGAGGATTTGGCACTATATACCATATTGACATAGTGCAGCAAATAATACAGAAGACAACAGAGTATAATCAGCCCCTGTGTCTTGCATTTGTGGACTATGTGAAAGCCTTTGACTCCATTTAAACTTGGGCTGTTCTAGATTCTTTACAGCGGTGCCAAATTGACTGGCGGTACATCGAAGTGCTGAGATGCCTTTACAACACCAGCACGATGTCCGTCCAAGTACAGGATATTCAAACAAAACCAATCCAGTTGCATCGCGGAGTGAGACAGGGGGATGTTATATCCCCTAAACTGTTTACAAATGCACTGGAAGATGTTTTTAAGACGTTAGACTGGAAAGGACGCGGTATTAACGTAA